ACCTTGTTTGTTTGGCCGAAGTGTACCTATGAGTTTGACATCCCTGCTTTAGATCATAATTGTTCTTTATTTCATAAATTACGATTTCATATTTTTAATTTTATAATTTCTGCATGTTATCTTACCAGATTTAAACTGATGATCTATAATCCGGAAAAATCGATAATCCGGAATCGCCGAAGTCCCGATGAGTCCAAATTAACGACTTTTGACTGTATAAGTAATTAAAAATATGCAAAAATTCTTCTGATGACCTCTTTTGAACAACATAATATTTCTGCAACTAAGTAGCACATATTTAGTTCACTCATGGTATTTGTGGCTATGAACAGAATGTCATCAAGATTTTTAAACTACTTTCTGATAAGCTATGGATTTCAAATTTTGTAAACATGTTGATTGTGACATGTGATTTTGAAACATGTGACTTATTTTACTATATTGTATTATCAATATAATACAATATAGTAAAATAAGTTTTATAAAATTCCATTAAAAATTTTTTTTTAATTTAATGTTGACATGATTTTTGCACATATGTTCATTTGCAAGACAAACTACAAAAGTCAAAATTTTAACGTTTGCAAATATTCTTTTAATTTAAATTTGTGTGATATTTTTAACGTAACTTCTAATTTCTGGGTGAAAAGTCAGAAAATGTTTTCTATTATTTGAGGTATTTATTTGAAGTAAAAAGAATATTATTCATTAATTTATTTGGAAGTAAAAAAAAAAAAATATTATTCATTTTTGAAAAATGATTTTTCAATTGAAAATTTTCATTGAAAATGTGTTATTAAGACTGAGAAGATAAAAATTTTTAAAAAGTTTTATAACATAAGCTTTTATTCAAAACTTATAAAATTCTTAATAAGCCAAAGGCAAAAAATAATTTATGGCATATTTTAATGGGAACTCGAGATGAATTAATCTTCTTTACAATATTCATGTGTAATTTATATCAAGAATTATAAAAGTGCAAACACTTAATTAAGTGTGGGAAAGGCAAAAAATATTTTAAATAAAATAATTTTTGCAAAATGACAGCAAATGTCATAAGTGAGTATCAGTAGTTATATAAGTAATTAAAAATATGCGAAAATTCTTCTGATGACCTCTGTCGAACAACATGATATTTCTGCAAATAAGTAGCACATATTTAGTTCACTCATGGTATTTGTGGCTATGAACAGAATGTCGTCAAAGATTTTTAAACAACTTTCTGTTAATAACAAAATCAAACAAATTAAATAACAAAATCAAACAGTCAATTGCCAATGTAAAAAGTATATCAAAGGTGTCACACTTTTTTATTATTCATGATATAAATTTGTAAAGAATATTATTTAATCTCTTATTCCTATTAATCTATATAATAAATTACGGTACTTGGGATCGGATTAAAAAATGTGTGTATGTATGCATGTACGGATGTGTGTGTTCCTGTATGCTCGTATATATACATACGAACGTATATATGTGTTTACACATATATACACAGGCACATGCACATGACATTAATACATACATTCCTGAATCCCTTCCGATAACAGTACAATAGCTAAATTACTTTTCTTTTTTAATTAATTAATCATTTGAGTTATAAATAAAAGCTTATTCTATATATTTTTAATTTTTTTTTTTTTTTTTTTAATTTCTCAAACAGTGTCTGAAATAAAAATTCTTATTTCCTCTTCTATTAACTTTCTAAGTGGTAACAAATTTCTTGTTTCTTTAGACCCAGTGTAAGGTCGCCGTTTTCATAAAACATCAAGAAGAGTTCTTGATCGTAAAACTTCCCGTGCAATTGAGGATCATTCATTACCTATTGTCATCAGAGTTGGAGGGATGCTTGTCCCCTTAGCCATTTAGGGATGAAAGTAAGACAAAAATCTGGACTATCCATTCTTGAAATTTCTTTTAAATCTAACATAAACACGGGACAGTCCGTTTTCAAGGGGATATTTAAAATGACAATATTACGGGACAAACCATTAAGCAGCTTGCATAAAAGAACGAGATAATCTGGGTCAAACCATTAAAGGGTTAAGGAACTCACACTGCAGAGGTTAAATTCACTGAGTAGTAAACTCAATAGCACATCACTAAGAAAATTAATCTTGAAATATTTCTTACTTACAGGCTCTTATTTATAATATACAGTCAAAAGTCGTTAATTCGGACATCTATAATCCAGACCTCAAAGCTACAAACTTTCTGCGCATGCATTTCCTTGACGCATGCGCATATGCGTGTGTGCATGTGCATAATACTTTTACGCGTGCGTGTTTATTGTATAACGGATGGTATAAGCTAAAATTATCTAATTATCTATTTCAGTTAATGTTGCAGATTGTGTTGTTCCTTAATCTTCGAATTGGATCCGGCTTATTAATTTTTGCAGACTGTTAGAACAATTTTATAAAAAGTAAGCTTGAACTTTTGATTATGTCAAATAGAATTACCGATGCTGGAGCTCCCAAAGGATCTACAAAGCGAAAGTGTTTCGATATCCATCAAACAAAAAGTGGAATTGCTGCAAAAAATGGATAAAGGCATATCCTTTGTCTCTCTAACCATTCCGAAATCTGTTTATAAATTTCACGCTGCTCTGCGGCAGGGGGGGGGACACCGCGGCGCGCTATGAATTTTAACTTGATCTATCAGCATTATCCATATCTTCAGGGCAGATGTTTTTATTTTATTTGGCTTATAATTCCTTACCAAATGTAGTATTTCATATCGATGTACTGCATCTTTGATATGATTTAAATCAAATTCCTCATCATTATAATTTGCTTCCGATAGTGAAGAAAGTGACACAGAGGTTATTGAAAACGAAAAAAATTTTGATTGACAAATTAGTCGGTATTCTGAACACAGCAGTTATAGGACTTGAACAGCGGAACTTTGTAACTGAACAAAAAATTTTGTCTGTTTATAGAATTAAAGAGAAAGTATTATCACATAAAACGAAGCAACTTAAACAACTTACATTGAAAGAAATGTTTAATAAAGTAAACAAATAAATATTAAGCTTTTTTTTTTTTTTTTTTTGGTAAATTTTGATACCCTTTAGATCATAATTGTTCTTTGTTTCATAAATTACGGTTTCATATTTTTAATTTTGTAGTTTCTGCATGCCATCTTACCAGATTTAAACTGATGATCTATAATCCGAAAAAATCGATAATCCGGAATTGCTGAAGTCCCGCCGAGTCCGGATTAACGACTTTTGACTGTAGTTAGAAGAGATGGCATTGCCCAGAATATTCTAGAAAATATGGCTACATATTGTGATTGCATCATGTGATGGCAGTATTACGGCTAGGGAAAAGGCAATATACCATTGGAAAGTCATATCTGGAAGCTGTAGAACTATACGTAGCAGTACTGTTATGGATTTTGTACATAGATAGATGGTTTTAGAGTAATTATATATGAAATTGTTCTATTTTTCTTTGTAAAGTAACATGAAAAGCCAAGAGAGATAAGCTGTGCCTGAAAGTAAAAATACAAGAGCAAGTCTGTTTAACATTGAGAAAATAGGTATCTCTGTAATTTGGTGAGATATTGCCAAGCTGGCAATGGGTTTGAGAACTAAAGTTTGGCGAGAAATCACCAAACTTGGTATTGGATTGGTGATGCAGAGACAGGACATTTAGGCCCTGTCTTTGTATCACTGTAGTAAGTATTGTAAATGAATAAATGTAATTTATTATTATATTAGCTGTAACCATAATTCAACCCTCATATTACCTTCCAGTAATTTCAAGAAGCAGAAAGTGCTAGAAATATCTCGGCAGCCGGTGAAAATTATATAAGGCTGGTGAGAGCATCTCCTCTCAGTTGTTGTTAGCTATTAGTTTAATGTGAATTCCGAGAACTATCTCTGGTTTAGGTTCACTCTTTAGCTGCGCTTTGCATTGCATTGTATTTAACCTTCATGGTAGTTTGAAGTGTAACTACTGATTGTACTCTGTGATATTGTAAAGATTTCTATGACTGTCTTTGTAAAAAGTTGCAAATAATAAGTAAATTTGATAAAATTTTGAGTAAATACAATACGCGTGTAACAATACTAAACTCAAATTGCTCTAGTTTCGAATACATCTAGAATCCTTAATAATGTTTCCAATATCAGTGCCACTGCGATACCTTTTAAGAAGTTTGCCTATCTGGATATTTTTCAGATAGGCAATAATTTTCTCTGCTTTGCCTCAGTTGACAGCAAAAAATAATGCATTAAAATAATTTCTGTATTGTGTTACAGGCTCACAATGATTCTGTCTTACAATCATTCATGTTGCCTGCTACTTATTCAGTGCTATTTTTGCTTAAAAATTTAAGCTTGGGCTCATAACTCTTATTTGAAATTTAAAAAAAAAATGAAATTTAAAATTTAAAATGCTATTAATCTTCTCTTTCTTGCAGTGTATGAAAATGTTTTGCATTTTATATATGTAACTGTATTTCTAACTCATCCTGTAATACCTGTAGTAATGCATGTAGTAGTTGATAACATTATATTTTTAAGTCATTTTAGCTTCCAGAACAAAGTAATGTTTGGTTTTTAGGATAATATTTACACAAAGCATGGCTGTTTGTTTATTTTTATGACCAAAAAAATATTTTGGGATTTCTCTCCAGCCCAATGTAGCTAACTAATTGAAAGCATCTGATATTTTTTTTATCAACATTTAATTGTAAAGTTAATAAATTATGTGTTCCTTCTGAATCCCTGTACTTTTGTCATTTAATTTTCTTATTTAAATTAGAACAATATAAATGAGAATACTCTGTATACATGCAAACTAAATTAAATAATAATAATAATAATAAGTAAAATGTATTCTGATTCTTTACCCCCTTCCCCCCAAAAATTATTTAAGATTTAAGAAATTTAACAAAATGTGAAGTTTTTATTAAGCTTATAAGATTTCTGTTTTAGTTATATAGCTTTTATAGTTAAGTAATGAAACTTTTATTTTTTAATATAGGATGCTGAAGAAGGAAAGTTTACTCATATGTTAGAAAAAATATTAGAGAAAGCTTATAAATTGCAAGAATCCTGTAGTCATTTGTTCCTAGATTCAAATTCTGTCCTTTTTAAATCTGAATCTCAGTCTGTTATATCATCTCGGCATGAAAGAGTTACAGAATCTGAAAGAAAAACAATGACAAGTATGTCATCTGTAGAGAGTTTTGTTTCAGCTCAAGCAGAAGTTAGTAACTTTTCTTATAATATTTTTGGATCTAGTTTTTTTTTTTTTTTTTTTTTTTTTTTTTTTAATTATTATTAATTATTATAAACCTGCTGTATGGAGTGATCAGATAGCTTCCATTTTAGTACTACAATTGTGTGATATGAGGATCAGTCAGTGTAAAGACTGTGATTGTGTAGTAGGATTAATAAGTTGTAAAGTTTACATTTAGTTTTCTAACAAGTTATTTTATATTAATCATCTTTCTTATCCCCTCACTTTCATTTTCCTGCCAGAATGTAAATTTCTAGCATGCGTGATATTCAAATGAGATAGCAAGAAGAGACTACATAAAGGAAGGTTTTTAAGGTTAGAATCAGAGCATGTTCTGCCTGCCTGAAGGCCACACTGCTAATTTGTTTCTCTTGCTAGCATTCTATGGTGTTGCATTATTCTCACAATTAGGCTTGTTATACTGAACTTAGGTCAGAGCCAGCTTAGGTGTTACTAGCCATTAGGCTAACTTACTTGTCTTGGTGTTAGTTCTTCCATTATCTTTGATTTTAACTTATAATTGTTGGCTTCTGTAAGCACAAGTGATACCATCTGTTAAATTTTATCTTAGTCAAGTGAAAGTGTCCTTTACACCCTTTCCTTGTCTCTGTGGTACTTAAAAGATAATGATAATTTGTAACTTTATTTGTGTGTATTTGTAACTGTGTAATGATAATTTGTAACTGTATAATGATAATTTGTAACTGTATAATGATAATTTGTAACTGTATATGTCTTAAGAGTTCTCGTGCATTTGATATTGCCAAAGAACACGAGACTCTGTGATGGTTTATTATGCTGTGAATTCTTTATAGTATGCATATAGATGACCTTATTGCTACTGAATGCATCTAGTATGTGGCTATCCTTTTCCTACGATGGTCATTAACCAGTTCTGTGGCTGTCTTAAATTTATCGTAGTGACATGTTTTGGCAATTTTTAAAGACGTTATCTTGCTAGGTTCCTTAATCATATTGCTATTAACAGTAGGATGCTTCTAAACTGCATTCTTTTTGTTTGCATTTTTTTCACCTTTAACCCTTTCAGAGGCGGTGGTTTCGCCTTGAAAACGCATTTTCAACATTTTTTTTAATTTAGAAATTTTTTTTTTTTTTTTTACCCCCTCAAAATTGTTGCTAAAATTAAATTACTACTTAAAGCTGATAACAGATAGCAGCACCAAATCTTTCTGGGCATCCATTAATTGATACGAATCATTCAAAAATAGCTTCTTTTCCACACTATTCTTTTTGACCCATTTTAAAAACAAAAAACCCAAAAATTTTTAATTTTTCACAATATATTTTATAAGCAGGCATCAATGAGTAATGAAATGTCCTTAGTTCACAAAAAAAAAAATAATGGAACCCTTTTAATTTTGAATGTTTTCATTGCGGTTTCAGTATGAAACCACCGCCCCTCTGAGACATTAAAGAAAGGATCAGATGACACAGTTGTGTTTATTGCTTTCGGATCACTGCTGTAAACAGTTGCACCATATCTTCATTTGAGTGGCTTCAAAGATGAGGATTTATGGAGCTTTTGAGAGAGGAAAAACATTTCTTATTTTTTACAGAGACACAAAGCACACTGAAAAACACTCACAGTTGCGTTTTTATTATGCTTCTCTTAGTGGTCGCTTTTCTCATGCTTCTAGTTCATAGTAAAATAATTGTATGCATCTTAATTTATTTTATTTTTACATATAATTTTCTTAGTTTTTAACATAATTTTTAAAAATATTTCATAGTGTTATGTAAGTAATTTAGTGCATTATTAATTACTTTTTGTCTCATACTTTTTTGTTTCCTGTTTTAAATTTTTTATTTATAATTAAAAATGTGTTTTTATGCAAATATTACTTTCTTCATTAGTTGTTCAGTAATTTACTAGTATAATCTGCAATTTGGGTTACGTTCAGATACTTTTCAGCAAAGTAAAGATAAATAAGCAAATGTTTAGTCTTAAATGCTCTAGACGGGTGCTGGTTTCAAGGCGAAACCGGTCCCCTTTCCATAAAGAGGGGCAAAAAAATTTTTTTAAACTCATTTATGTTAAAAGTTCTTGGAAGGATGATGATTCCAGTCAGTTGATGATATCAAGTTACATTAGACATTTTCTTACACCAAACAGCTGACTTATCCGAAAAGAGCATCTTAAATCTGCTTGATACATGGGCAAGTAAATATTTTGTAGCAGTTTCTTCAAAAAATTTGCAAACCGCTTTTGTCCTACATCCCTTGAAAAGAAACTTTTTGATTACCATAGTAAATTTTCTTTTAATAATGCATAAATTTTTATTAGTGTATTATTTGTATTTTCCATTCTACAACAAATTTCTAGAATATTATTCCACAATGAATAAAAATTTTGATGATTTTTTTTATATCTCTGAGGAGATACTCTAAAAACTATACATGTTGCCATTGCAATTCTGCCTATGTGTTGGAAGAGGATAATTCTTAAAATAACTTACGAAGAAACATATATCAGGTTAGATTTCGATCATAGTTGTATGATAAAAAATTTGTAGGATTTTTTATCACATAATTAATTGTATTAATTGGAGGTTTTGATGGATCTCATAGAGAAAATCTAAATTTGTTTTATTTCTTAAGAGGCAGGAATTATTCTAAATTGTTGATTTGTAAATCTTAATGTTTTATATCTACAACAATACCTCCCATAGTTCAGCTTTCATCAGTCCAGATTTACTATCGTATAGCTTGAAAATTTTGAAATAAACTAAATTTTAATTGAGCAAAATAAAATAAAATTACAAAAAACTGGTACATAAAAAAAATGTTTGCTGTTTAAATTAGCTTTTTCATTCATGCAGTCCAGTCTCTTTTGTGCAGTTTTTAAAGCCAAATGATACAATAACTGTTTCATTTTTTTTTTTTTAATGGAATTCCTTACTTCATATACAGGGTGAATCTGAACAAGTGTACAAGACTTTAGGGAGTGATAGAAGGCAGCTATATGAGCACTATTCGTCATAGAATGTATAGTTGTAATGCAAACGGCGAGCCGCCAGGTGGAATTGTAAATGATATAAAAAAGTGTCAGTCCTCACAGCCAACAGAATTTTTTTTACTATGGATTGCTGAGAGGATGACTGGTTATATGAACCATGAAATTTCCAGGGTGATGGTTTGTCAAGGTGGTCCCATAGCCTGGCCACTAAGATTACCAGATTTGGACTTTTTTCTGTGGGGTCATATGAAGAGCTTAATCTATGAGTGCCCCACTGAAAGAAATATGGATCTAGTCCCCGCGATTGGCATTGTTGCCTGCAGTGCTTGAGAAATGCCTGGTGTCTTCGCAGATGTGCATCAGTCCCTATCCCCACAGATGTGATGCTTGTGTGACATCTGGCAGAATGTCTTTTGAGCAATTTCTTTGAGAATGTACATTGATTACATTCATGTTAAAAAGTGCTTTCTGAAGTATCTCCTCTCATTCTTGAGTTGATTCTTTAAATGTGACTGTGGAAAACTACCTTTTAACTTCTCACTGCTTGCATTCCAGCCATACATCCTGTGATGAATATTGCTCGTATAGCTGTCTTCTATCATTCCCTAAAATTTTGTCCACTTGTTCAGATTCACCCATATATGTGCTCTGGCTATTCATTTTTAGCTCCAAACTTGTTGCTGGAGGAGATGAAGAGAACACTGGGACATGCTTCTGCTTTGAGTTTTTATCTCAGTTTGACAACCTCACTTACAGTTCTTAGGTCTGAAACTGAAGCATTTGAAAGATGCTCTGATTGCAGTTCAGTGCAATTACAATGGCGTTCCTTAATATGTAAGCTACATAGCATGCATAATTAATAGATATATATTAATCGTTAGCAATTTCTACAATTTACCGTGAGTTGGTGTTATGACCACTCAAAACATTTGTAATTAAAAAAACGAGAGACAAAGGCCAATCATGCAACATATGATATTAATGACTTGTGCATTTGTAAGGATAGAATAAAGTACCTTGTCGTTGGTTGTGTATCTCTGTCCTGGTTAATAACTAAAAAAAAAAATTAAAAATACACGTAATGTATATAAATGTAAGAGGAAAATTCTAAGGCCAACAATTTCAGAAGTGGAATGTCAGTGTCAATCTACCATGACTGATTGTCATTGAAGGTCTGATGCAAAAACGAAAATGGTAAATGTTTTGTTTTTACTCCATTGTAAAGTTATTAAACATATCAATGAAGCCATTAAAGATATGCATGAAAGCTTGTAAACCTATATTTGAAAGCTATTAAAATATTAATAATAAGTATTAAATGATAAAACATCTATAAAAAGGTAACTTAAAGATGTCTTTTCTTGGCAAGGGATGCAGAAGCGATCTAATTGAACTTGTGACGGAAATTGTGGGAACGATCCCACCAGACGCCTTTGTGATTACAATTACAAACATCCTCACTAACAGTAAAAATTATGACGAACTATTTGTAAAACAAGGTTTTGAAAGAATTATCAAAGAAAGACTTAAGAAAGAAGATGAAAGAAAATTACCAGAAAGGAAATCTGAGAAATTTGCAAGAGAAAGAAGATTTAGGCTGCCAGAAGAACTTGTATATTTAGCCCACATGATGAATGAAGATAAATGCCAGCATATGTCATCTTATTCAGAAACCAAGCACTGAGAAATACAGTATCAAATGCCAAGGAAAAGTTAGATTACTCAAGTTGAGAGTAAAGAAAGAGTACTTAAAAATATTACCTCATTAATGCTGAAAGAAGTGAAACAGCGGATGGCAAATAAGCTGAAGGAGTACTATGACGAAAGAAAATATTGAACTATGACTTTTGAACCAGATGATATAGTGGTTGTTCGACGACCATCAAAACCAACAGCAGAACCTACAAAAACTCAGCCAAACTACAGAGGACCCTTGATTGTGACAGAAGTCCTCCCCAATGATACTTACAGAGTGACCCAACTGGAGGGAAAAGAACATGGTAGACTGTATGCCACAACAGCCCATGTAAGTCAACTGAAGTCTTGCCATGTTAATAATCTAAATGAGTTGGATGAAGGGGAACCAGGTAACTCGGATATTACAACAGGTAACAAAAAACAATATTAACAACTGATGCATTTGTAAGGATAGAATAAAGTATCTTGTTGATGGTTATGCATTTGATATGTAATGCCTCAGGTCATCTGAATGATCTTTGATTTGAATAAAAGTGTTTAAATAACTTCCACCAAATGCAATGCCATTGATCCAACCAATAGATCAGGGTTTCACTGCAGCATTTGCATCTAGTTATTTGCAGTACAATTTTACATAAGCCCTTTAAACTACAACATAAAAAATCTAGATAAAACATGACATGATTTAACTGTAGCAGTATCAGGACAGTATGAAAACACGTCATGCTACATTATACAAATCATTTCATAGGTGTGGACTTTCACTATGAACATAGTGAAAATTGGACAGCAAGTTAACTCTACTGAATCAAAGACTAAACTATGTAATGAAACATTTACTAAAATAGATGACAAGGACCTTGTGAAGAACAGGATGACAACTTAGACAATGCCGGCTATGTTGAAGTACCTGTATGAGAAAGCATAGTTGAAAAAATATAAAAAATAATTTGTATGTTTGAAACTTTGCCCAATCCTGTTATTGAAAGTAGCTTAAAGTTTTGTGAACAATAAGCAGTGAAATTTATTGCTCCAAAGAAATGTATGAAGAGAAAAAGTCAAAGAAGAAAAAGATGCAGTTATCAATATTGCAAATTTCAAAGAATAAAAAAGAATTACGAAAAAAAGGCATTCTTTAAAATTATTTCTACGAATTTAATATATCAATAACATTTTATTTATAGAGAAAAAGGAATAAAAATAATGGAATTATTTAATAAAAATTTAAAAATTAAATTACTTTTTTATATGTTTAGTTTCTGAATTAGAACTATGTCAAACAAATTTGGAATATTAACAGAACCAGTTAGTTAACTAGTGAGGTATTGCTGTATACATATAGAACTTTATTATGTGAGGTATTGCTGTATAAATACAGAACTTTGGATTTCATTTATTTTACAATAGCATGTTATGAAATTTTTTCAAGTACCTTTGTAACAAATAGTATATATGCTGTATTGTAAGAAGAAATTTAGGTGGAAACATCTGTATCAGCATCTTCCACGGTTAATTTTTTATTCCCTAATTTATGATATTTTGAAATTTCAGGATTTTACTGTTAAAATAGAATACATTTTTTTCCCTTTTAAATTATCCCCTTTATTGGGAGTGAGTTCTTTTAAAAAAAATTCATTTCCTACCAGTTATTTAATTAAATTATTTGCATTCAAACACCACTATTATTATTAATTTTTAAAAGAGTATATTTATCTATGTCTTGCTTCCTCATTTATCATGGGAAGGCAAGCAAACAGGAAAAAGTTAGTGATAAACAGCAGAGTTGGAATCAGATTTATTGTGGATAATTAAAATATCAAGAAAAGCAGTTGTTTAATTCTGTTTCAAATGTGAATTGAATACCTGGATCACTCTAACCCAGATCAAATAAAATCTAAATTACGTTAAAGACTTAACTTCTCTCTGGATTCAGTTTATAGTTCCATATTGGAATGAATCTATAACATTTTACTGGATTAACCCTAAAAATAACTATAACTTTTGTTACAGTCATCTGATTAAAGGTTTATCTTTTCAGATTGCTGATTTGGATGAATTTGATGAATTTGCTGAATTAAATATTGATTTGAAAGAACTAGCTTTATATCAAACTGCTTTAAAAAAATATGAAGAAGGAGCCATTCCTATTAGGTTGCTAAGGTATTATTTATCATTTGTTTGCTTTAAGTAATTAGTTCTTATTTTTTATTGCAAGTAGGTGAAAATGATACTGTTCATATGGATTTTTTTTTCTCTTGTTATTCTGAAGTCAACAAAAAATATAATATTTGAACAGTATGATACACTGTTTTATATATGTATGAGGAGCTGAATTACTTATTATAAATTGCATCATAAAGTATATATTCATTCCTTAATTTTTGTTATATGCCATATTCTTATGACCATTTTCTTTTCAAAAAGTGATCTGATCAGTATGTAATCCCTATGATTTGCAAGCAAGCTGACAGTTTGAAGCCAAACCCTTTCTTGTACTGAAGCATGGATATCTTGATTAGAAATAATTAGCATCTATTTAAAATCAGGGAGAAACATCTCAGCATAAATACTGCTGGATATTTGCTGTTTTGAGTGTCATGTGAAGTGTGGTGTTACCATAAAGGAAGAAAATCCCATGGGACAACTTTTTTCAGATATCAGGCTTTTGTTGGTTTTGCATAGTATCTGTAGGGTTGCTCAGTATTATATGGTTTTAGCAGTGTGACCATGGCCCAGCCATTCCAGAAACCATGATCTGCTGCCATTAAGAACTGTTGTTCTGTGTTCATGACAGATGTTGCCACTGCATATTCATCTGCTTGGTTCCTGAACAAAAATTGATCGCACCAGGTTTCAGTACCTCCAATGATTTCAGACAGAAATGCCAGTCCCTTCTTGCAGGAATGAATGAGGTTTTGTTAGACTATCCCTATCTGTGTGGACTTTTGTTGTTCAGTTAGGTCTGTAACACCTGTTAAATACATACTATCTACCTACACATTTGTTGGACATTGACATAAACATTCACTGAGAATTAATAGATTGTGAAATAGCACATTTCTTTTTTCTTTTATGACCGCAGTGTGTATTTAATCTGGTCTCGGGAGTTATGTTTTGTTCCAAAACTCTGCACGCCATTTAAATAATTAATGCATTTCCTGAAGTTATTCTTGTAAACTCTGCATGCGCTGAAAAATTTCCACTATTTGCAAGTCTTCCTTACATAGAAAGGTAATCACAACCTTGAGCAATCTTTAATATATCTATGACACACTGCAGTTAGAAATTCTTTACCATTATTAAATGTAATGTTAATAAACCATGAAGCATGTTTCTGCTTATCTCATCGTGTACATTGCTGTCATCTTCTATTCAAGCAGCACAATGTTTAGTCTATGATTTTCTGGTACTGAACTACCCTTATATATATAAAATTTATCTAGATTGATTTTACATTATTAAAACTGATTTTATTATGTAACATTTTAAAATTTACAACTGATATATTTTTGTGTTTCATGAAATATTATTTTAATATCTAGTATTTATGAAGTTTGCTTTGTGCTATATAATAGGACAGAAATGCTGAAATGTCAAACAAATATGGAATACATAGCAAAAGTTCATTGTATACGAGTTGCATTTCAGGTATTATTTTTTAAATATTTAAAGAATGCATATTTTTTCTAGCATCACATTTTGTATTCTGTTCATTATTTAAAAAAATGTATTAAGCTCTAATATGCATAATTTTATTAACAAACACTGTACTTTAAAAGAATAGCTATTCCATGACTAAGGTAAAATAAAATATTTAATTATCTGAATTATGCTGAATGACGGAGTGTGATATATGGCATATGATGAATAGTTTCAAGTAATGGTTTTAGGTATCAATATTTACTTAAACGCACATTCTTTTCTTCAAAATTATGTAAATTTATTTTACATGATGACTCAAAAAGAAATTATGGATTAATAACTTATTTTAATGATTTTTATTTTGGAAGAGTTCTATTTATTTAGGAGAAATATGTGAAGTTTAAGTTACTATAAATGTTTCAGCAAAATACTGATTTTAAGTGTAACTAATCTGCAGAAAACTATTAGGTTACGTCATTTATGATTCAGTAAAATATTCATTTTCACTATATAGCAAGATTAATAAAGTCTGAGTCTGAGTTTATTAATTCCTTTTACAAATATTTTTTTAATATTTTAATTAATCTGCATAAATGTATGTATGTTTCTCGCATTGTGATAACCATGGTATCTAGTACCATCAAATTTTAAATGATGTAATCCTACTACAAATAATGGGCATCTGGAAGCCCAAATTTGAAATTTGTTTTATTATCGATTTCATATTTTGTAAAACTTATATATGTAAAACTACTTATATATGTAAAACTTATATAACGAATTTTTGATTAACAAACTTTAAGGATTTCAAAGTAAGCAATGGCAGTGTTGTACAGAAAAAAACATTTTTATCTCCAGTGTCTGAGACTGTGTATCGGAAATTCTAAAGATATGCTCAACTTAAAATTATTTTGCGATATTGCTCTTGAACTCAATTTTATGGTTTAAATGCAAAGAAAATCATATTTATTAAATAAAAAATTACTTTTATTTAATAAAATTTTCAAAAAAATTCCCCTTTTGACATAATTTAAAATCTGAAACCTTTGAGATTTTCTTTTTTTTAATTACCCCCCTAAGGAGTGCTTTTGGAAAAAAAAAGAACTTTTATATATATATCTATTAGATATTTCATTCATTAGGTGTTGCATTCAGATGTATTTAATTACAGTAGAAATTATTTAATGTAAATTTGGCTTGTTTATTTTATTTTAGTTGCTGTTTCAACAGAATGAAGTTCGTTCATGGTTTGTAGCTGTTGGAAATAAAATACTAACTGGTTTAATGCTTCGGGGTGAAAAAGTAAATATCCTCAGTTTTTATAGTTTTTCTAATAATTATTCATCAAAACATAAATTTTCAAAACTTAAATTCATCAAAACTTAATAGTTTACTCATTTGCCACTTACAATTTAATAGCTTAATTAATATTTAAAAAAATGTTGTCTTCAGTAGATAATATTTACTAGTAAAAAATTTATACAAAGTGGTGTATAAAAAGTGACAGGCTCTGACAAAGTGGTGTATAATTTTCAACATTCTGCATAAACTTTGCACTGTAGCATTATGAAATAATTTCAGTAAATTTTTATACTTCTTAGTATGAAAGGTAACTTTTTAATTTGGGGGATCTTCATTAAAATTGATGAAGGATAAAATGCATTGTATCTTTTCAAAAACAAAGTAAATATTATATTTACTATTTTGTGTTTTCTTAACTGGAACATCATCTGCAAACATTCGTTTCTCAATGCAATACGAGAGTTGCTATATTGATTTTATTGTTTTTCAAAATATTCTCCAAGAAGGTCAATACACTTTTGCATGCATTTGAACTAATTTTCAAAACACTTATTCCACTCTGATTGAGGAAACTCCAAAAGATGCGTTTTGAATGCATCAACAGCTTCTTCAGGTATGGCAGATCACTGACCACATAATTTATTTTTGATGTGCAGGGGAAAAAAAATGTCATTGGGTGCCAAATTAGTAGTGGATGACTTATCAATTCAATGTTTCATCCTGTCAAAAATTCCTTTGTTTGAGCTGATGCGTGAGAACTCGCATTGTCATGATACAGAATGATTTGCCTTTTCTTCTGCTTTTTAATTTCTCCAGTCACTTCTGGCAAACAAATGGTCGTGTACCATTTAGAATCGACCATCTTGTATTGCTGTAACACTGCTGTTGCTACGTGACCAGTAATGCCAAAGAAACGGGCAACCATTTGCTTTGATGTGCTTCTTCCATAAACAGCTTTTGTTGGAGTTGGCTGGTCATGGAAGACCCATACAGTCAACTGCTGGTTTCTTTCAGGCTCATATGCATAGATTCATGATTCGTCACCTGTGTAGATGTTATGCACAGCCTTTGATGTGCCTTGAACGTATTTTTCCAACATTTACTTGCAACAATCAACATGAGTCTTCTTTTGAACGTTTGTCAGATTATGCAAGATCCAAAGCAAACAAATTTGTTTTACAGCCAGATGTTCATGTAATAGCTTATTGATACTTGTCATACTAATGCCCAAAGATACTTCAATCAAATGGTATGTCATCTTTGTCAGTTCATGCACAGCATTGATATTTTCTGGCACAGCAACTGATTTTGGATGACCTTCACAGAATTTGTCCTGGAGTGAATGTTGCCCACAACTGAATTCGTTATACCAGTTTTTTTTTTTTTTTTTTTTTTTTTTTTTTTTTTAACAGTGCTGTAGGATAGTCCTTTATTGCTGTATAAAAAATTAAGTTCATCGATGCACTCTTGTCTTGATAATCCACATCGTAAGTTATGAAAAGTAACCGCTTGAAAATGTTCACATGTCAATTCCATTTTTTGCCTGAGATGAATTTTTCAGTTTACTGTAAACAATACAAATCACACTAAAATGGCAAAACATTCTGAAGAAGTTATGTTTAAAAATATCAAACTTTCAATTGAAATCGTCTGCAATGCTTACTGTTGCCAAGCCAGAAATATAAATAGCAACTTTCATATAGTTCATACTTTATGATTGTGTCTCACATTTTTATAAATGTTTGTAAACTGCTAAGAAAAGAAAAAGTTGTCTGTTACTTCTTCAAAGCAGCAAATGTTACCGGTTGTATAAAAGTATTTTTGGAAAGCAAGAAAATTTACACAAAAGTTTCAAAATAATTTTAATATAAATCATTGTATCTAATGCATTCAGCTAATTCCAGTCTACTAATTTTCACTTTCATTAATTTCTAAGGTTTTAAGTTTAGAAATACTCTACTAGTGTTAAATATAATAATCAGTTATTATGTGCCATTGGACATAAGAAGAAACATTCTTAATTCAAAATAAATTGCAATAAAACTGCTTTTCTTCCTGTAACATTGTAGTTGTGTATTTTATAAATAGGAGTTTTTAATGCCTATTGATTAAATAGATGTTATTTAAATCAGGATAGACTAAAGTTTAACTGTGAAAAGGAAAATATTAGAGAAAGGGGTTAGCATTGTAATATTTTAATGTTAAAGTTATAAATATTATAACAAAGCACATAAATAGTGTTTATCAAAATTATTATTCTGAATTTGTATGCTTGGCCAAATTATTTGTTTAAATGCAACTTTATAAATTTCAGAAATAATTTTAATTCATCTATTTGGATATGCTTATATAACATTTGTCATCATCTAAATGCTTTGTTCATCTTTATTTCTAATGGATTGGTTAAGAGATGTCTAATGTTTCTTCCCCCCCCCTTGATTTATATTTTCTGTAAAATTTGATTTCAATGTTATACATGTTAGAATAAAAGAAGACAAATAATTAATTATTTTCCATTGATTTTAAGTTGCGTACTAATAAAGTATAATATAGTTCTGATGTTAAAATAATTTCAGGTATAATATAAGGCAATAAAATAACATTGAGTTTTAGAAACAAATTTTGTCTTAAAAGAGTTTTGAGAAGAGTAGCCCAAATCATATTTTACAAGGATGTAGCATGATTATCTAGAAAACGTTCTCTGTGTTTAATATGAAAGTAAACATGTGACAATAAAATCTTTTATATAATTTATTTGATTATTTTATGAGTTGATATATTGTTGCGTTTTTCTTTCCTGACACCAGTTGTTACGTTATTTTCTTCCTTCACGTACAGGGTTCGTAGATTTGGAGTGAATAACGATGACACTTGATGAAGTATCAAAACAAACTTTATTCAGCCAATACAGTCAAAAGTTGTTAATCCGGACCTCAAAGCTACAAACTTTCTACGCATGTGTCAACGCATAATGCGTTCACGCATGCACATAATATGTTTACGCATGAGTGTTTAATGTATAATGGATGGTATAAGCTAAGCTAAAATTATCTAATTATCTATTTCAGATAATGTTGATGATTGCGTTGTTCTTTAATCTTCGAATTGGATCCAGCTTATTATTTTTTGCAGACTGTTAGAGCAATTTTATTAAAGTAAGCTTGAACTTTCAATTATGTCAAATAGAATTTTCGATGCTGGAGCTGCCAAAGGATCTACAAAGCGAAAGTATGTTTCAATGTCCATCAAACAAAAAGTGGAATTGCTGCAAAAAATGGATAAAGGCATATCCTTTGTTTCTCTAACTATTCCGAAATCTGTTTTTCAATTTCATGCTGCTCTGCGGGGTGGGACGTCATGGCGCGCAATGAATTGGAAGTTGATCTCTCAGACTATCCTTATCTTCAGGGCAGATGTTTTTATTTTATTTGGCTTATAATTCCTTAATAAATGTAGTATTTCATCTCGATGTACTCTGTCTTTAATATGATTTAAAACAAGTTCCTCGTCATTATAATTCGCTTCATATAGTGAAGAAAGTGACACAGAGGTTATTGAAAACTAAAAAATTTCGATTGACAAATTAGTCGGTATTCTCGACACAGCAATTATAGGACTTAAACAGCGGAACTTTGTAACTGAACAAGGAATTATGTCTGTTTATAGAATTAAAGAGAAAGTATTATCACATAAAACGAAGCAACTTAAACAACTTACATTGAAAGAAATGTTTAATAAAGTAAACAAATAAATATTAAGCTTTTTCTTTTTGTAAATTTTGATACCCTTTAGATCATAATTGTTCTTTAGTTCATAAATTACTGTTTCATATTTTAAATTTTATAATTTCTGCATGCCATCTTACCAGATTTAAACTGATGATCTATAATCCAGAATCTCCGAAGTGATCTCAGTTTCTTTACTCTTATATGTTTGTAAATTGTACATTTTTTGCTTTAAAAATGATTGAATTATGTTGTTTTTATCTTCCGGTTAAGGCTTTTATGCCTTTAGTAAATCTGTATGCAATATTTTTAGAATTATCAACAATTTTAAAATTGTTTAAGTACCGCTAAGCCTAATTTGATGGCGGCCATTGCTCTTGTTTACATTTGAAACAGCTGAGTAACGGATTTGTTGCCAATCTAGAGAAACTTAGCTTCGCAAGAACAAGGATAACGCCTTCATTTATTATTTAAATCATGCTTAATCCTTTCTGGAATTTTTTCGAGGAAATAAGCGTTTAAGATTTACTTCGTAATTTTTAATACAGATATTTTGAGTTTTTATGTATTTTTGCCTTGTCGCAAAGTGAAAACTGAATTAATTGGAATGAGAAATACTCAATCGTCTGTGAAAAACTGTTTCTTTTTTGTTTGCTTAATTTCTTTTATACATAGTTCTAGCTTTATTATAGTATTTGAATAGAACATGTGGCAACGATTAGATAATTTTTTAAATGATATAAATTTTGTGCATTCTGAGTTATAATATGAACGAAATATAATACTGTTAAGTCAACCTAGCGCCAGAGTGTCACTATGGTAAACAAATTGAATTTTTAAGAATGCATGTATTCTATTGTGGTTTATGCGCTGTCGGCAAAGTAGGTTTAATTCAATCTAATAAGTTTAAATAAAATGCAAGAAAAAATGCGTATAATTTAATATTCCGTACAAGGAAGTCATGTGGTGTACACATCAGATTTTTTTCTTTCTTTTCTCTTAACAATTAGTGTTAAGAAATTTTTGTCCTTTCATTAGTTAACATTCTGCAGCAGTGTCTGAAACTTGTTTTCTTTTGTGCACAGAATCTGAGATTCATTCATATTTTAGCTGTTCAACACAATAGTTCTTATCTCTAACTTTAGTTTTAAAACTTTATCTTTCTTTTCCAAAACATTCTTGAAGAAAACCTTGCCCTAGATATGCATTATTTCACTGAATTTTATCTGTTTGCATATTCTTTCATTTAAAAAATGAGGGGATTGTCAAATATAATGTAATACCAATTTTTATTTATTATTATTATTAATTATGACTGTTATTTTCTTGTTAAATTGTATTGAAGTATATATTATTAATTAAGAGTGTTCTTGTTTTCTTGTTAAATTGTATTGAAGTATGTATTATTAATTATGACTGTTTTTTGTTTTCTTGTTAAAATCATATTTAAGTACATAAATATTATTAGTGTTACGGATATATAAAGAAATCTATTTTAATAATTACTATAGATTACTGAATATTTTTAAACTTTGATGTGAAGTTAATTAATTGATAAATTGTAAATATAACTTCTAAAGTATAGTGCCTTTTGCATCAGAAATATAGTATTAAATTTAAACTTTAAGGTAAGAACAGTTCTGATTTTGACTAACAAAAGTTTTTCTGTATAATGTACATTTTATCATAATACAACAAGGCTTTAAATTAATTATGGAATGTATACATATCTTATACATATAAGCTTACCTTTCTATGTTTTTTAACAGCATCGTTAAGTTCCCCACACACGATAAAATTAGCGAGTAAAAACATAATTTGCATTTTAATAATTTTTCTTCATAAAAACATTTTTAAGTATTTTTTTAAAGGATCCAAAGGATTGTTTATTAGCATATGAAGACATAATAGCATATTCCAAAGACAAAAATAATTGGCCAGTGATGGAAGATGAATTGCTAAGTCGTGGTGTAAGTATTTTCATATTTTGTATTATTAAAAATTAGCAAGTTTATTTTATTTTATTTTTTGAAGCAGTGCATCTTTGCTTAACATTGATTAAGTAAATATTTTAAATTTTGGAGTGCAGACTTATGGAATATTTTTGTCATGTAATTATTTGTTTTAAATTACTCTATTTATAAGCTGATTTTCTCAGTTTCTAAAAAATGCTTGATTATAATTTGTTTTATTTCAAATTGTTTTTAAGCATGATTATAGAACTTCATTAATTTTATTTTCTTGTAAATCGTCAATTTTACAGATGGCGCATCAAATATGCATGGTGCTTACAGTGATTTGATTAAATGGTTGAGTGAAAAAGCACCTCACCAAATCCGTGTTTGGTGTTACTCCCATACTCTAACTTGAGTATTGGTCAACTCTACGAATCATATTTTAGAAGGAACTTCTCTTTTTTCTGTAATGAATGAGTATAGCAAATTCTTTAAAGAATCCTATCAAAGAAGGATCTGTGGAGAGGAATCAATGATAAAACCAAATCTAGGAAGCTTCATCTCAGCAATGAAACTAGATGGAGTTAGAAATAATATGCCCTAAAACACATTTTTTGGCACATTCAATCGCAAAGATAAATGTTTATACGTAGAATTAATACTTGCACTCAAAAGTACTGCTTCCAGTGGTATACACAATGCAGGGATACGACAAATGGCAAAAATCTATTCTGGACAAAGTATCAATTTTTAGAATAATTTTATCTGCTCACGTATATTTGAAAATATTTCAATATACTGAGCTAGTAACAAAATATTTGAGGAATTAAGTGTTAGGTTACATCCTAGTATGTAATTTTGTAATGGATAACACCATTTCATCGATAGAAAGTATGTTTAAAATGTATAGGAAGTTGTATGAAGACATATCTTTTCTTGATCACAAAAACTTTTCAAACCCATTGCTGATGAACTCTTTTTAATATTTATCTATATTATTAGGGCACTATGCAGGTGTAAAAATTGATAATTTTAAGGATGAATATCAGGATCTAGTAAGTAAATGGGAAGTACTAAAAAATTCAATAAAAAATCACTGTTTTGAATCTGATAAGTGAGAAGAAGAGAGTGCTCTATCTATTAATGTAATGAACATTCATCCAAAGCTAAATGCAGTTTTTGTAAAAATTGCATTTTGTGTGTATATAAATTACTCTTGAAATATAATTTATATAGTAATGCAGAAGCAAATGTCTTTTTTGCTCATAAGTTTGTACTCACATTATCTATAATGCAAGTTGAATGTGAAAGCTTTTTCAAAATTAAAAATTTTAAAAAGTAGATTAAGGAGTACTATGAAGCAAGCTTACTTGGAGTCATTGCTATTGATGAAAACAGAAAAGGATATTTTGACTAAAGCAGAAATGGAAAATATAATGGAGCAAATATTTGCCCAGGCGGCTGGAATAAAAAAATATTTAAATTGCTAATTATGAACCAACTGTTGTTTTGTTTATATAATTATTTAGTCACTGTTATTTATTGTTTGTAGTTTATTTGTATGTATATATGAATAAAGTGTTACTTTTCTGAAAAGGTATATTTTTATTTTATAAAATTATTTTTATGATGATAATGATACCTTATGTGTATAATGACATTTCATATGAGACCTTAGGGCCTGCATATTTTTTCCATCCAGGGCCGACTTTTTTGGCCAGTCCGCCACTGTTTATTAGTATTATTTATTTTCTGCATTTTCAACTGAAATTTCATTATTAAATCTTTTAATATAGTTCACTTTTGTATAGGTGTTGATTTTTTCCTCCTCATTATGAACTAGTTCTGTAAATTGAGCTGTTATTTAAAATTAAAAAATAATTGTAATTGTTTTCCATGGTTGAGTAATGTTAATTCTCTCATAATAAATACTGATATTTTACGCTTCATATCAAACTTTTTCCTTTTAAGATTATGTAGTTGTGCATATATGTAATTAAACATATGCTTATTTTCTTTTTCTTAAAATGTGCTTGAAAAGTGCTTATAGGTGCATATTTTTTAACTAAAATGTGTATATAAATTTAAACCTAACTCTTTAATATGTGTATATAAATTTAACCTACTAACCCTGGCAGGAATATTTATTTAAATATCCAAGTTCCATATTTCAACATAATTTCTTTCATTCTACCAACAGGTGAAATGTCTGTCTTTCTATGATGTTGTGTTAGATTTTATTGTTCTTGATGCTTTTGAAGATTTAGAAAGCCCACCTTCATCTGTAACTGCAGTTGTTCAAAACAGATGGCTGTCCAATGGTTTTAAGGAAACGGTAAAGTCTTTTGCACAATATGATGATAATCAATTACTATTGGAAATTTTTTTAATGAATTATTTACAATTCAAGGTTCAAAGCTGTAAAATTTCGATAATCTAATTATGTAATATTCCTTAAAATTCAAGCGATTTCGATTTTGAATGAGATACTGTTTTTGACATTTTTCTCACGTATTTTGTGTGTAGCATTATCTCGCACCTCCCTTTTTCTTTTTACCTTCTGTCTTTCTCTTTCTGTTTTTTGTTTTGGGGGTGGGGGAAAAATTTAATTTTCTAATTGCTTGGCCTCTATCAGTAAAAGTAATAATAATTTAATGTCTTACATTCTTTTTTTATTGTTTCTGTATGAAAGTATTCATTTTTTTTAATGAAACATTTTATTTTTTTTAATATGTGTTTTCTCTAACACATTGTTTTATGCATTTTTTATATGTTTTAATGTATTATCTTAAATGTATATTTGATAAACTGTTATCTTTCAGGCTTTAGCTACAGCTGTATGGTCTGTTTTAAAAGCTAAGAAGCGAATGCTTAAAGTTAGTAAGTCAAACATTTGAAAATGTTTGTTTTTATTTATTATTAATACATATACTTTTATTCTTCTATCATAAATTAAATTTTTTTAAGTGTATAACCTTATATACTTCTGCTATCAGTGAAATAAGTATCAGGAACTTCGGAAATTTTATTTTATGAAATATAAATATATATATGTATCCTCTGATATGATACTCTCTGAATAGTTTTGGTACAGTGTTTTATTATTACTTATCTATAGTAGTCAAATGATGGATAGTTTCTGTTGATGATTCCAAATTCCAGAATGATCTAATATCTGGACATTCGGATCATGAGTAATTTTTTTTATTTAGACATTTTGTGGGGATAGGGGGATTCATTTTGAGAGTAGCATGTGCTTCGTGCATGCACATTGAATCCTTCTACATGCTTTATTATGAAAAAATGTCTGTTGCTTAATGCAATAGACATTTTTTTCATAATAAAGCATGTAAAAGGATTCTTAATTTCAGTTTACTAAATAAAACATCCATGGTGAAGAAACACAGTAATTTAATTCCCAGAAATCTGTATGATCAATAATTTGGCCATGTAGGGCTTTTTCCTTGGCGTATATCTGACCTCGAAGTACTCTACCAAAGTTCATTGTTGATTTTACACCTGCTGAATAATTTACATCCCTGATCCCTTACTGGAAAATCATTTTTTATTATTTGTCGCCTTCATTGCCACATGACTATCAACTCATAGCAGCTTGAGAAATTATTCATGCAGTAATATCTGAAACAATTTTATTTAAAAAATATTAGTTACTAAATATCAGACAATGCAGTAACCTTTTATGTTGACATAATGCTTGGCAACAATTGCAGACTTAACCTTCAAAATGTTGAGTGTGTTGACTGAGAGAAATTTAACAGAATTGTTTTTCCATATGCAAAAAATAAATTTTGTAAATGATATTCATAGGCCAAAAGAATAAATTTAGCACTGTTTGCGTTAAGAATAACTGTTTGATATCCATGTAAGCGTTAAGTAAACACAGGATGTTATTTATTCAGGGCTTAGATCTGGGAAATAAATATGAGTATAATAAGTAACTGAACTAATACAATTCAGGCTTAACCTCCTGAGTGTGCAATAGAAACAAAACAAAATTTAGAGGAACAAAACATCTCTAATCACCACTCTCATGGTACACCACTAACGGTGCATAGCCAGTGGTAGTTAAGCTTTATGATGATAGCCTTGAATTTGAAGGTTTTCAGATACTGCAGACAAAAAATGAAACCATCCAGTTAATGGAATTTATGAAGAAAATCTGGAAAAGTGGTAATAAATATGATGTAGCAGAAGTTTCAGACTTTGATGACAATGCCCTAGTCAGCAGTCAACTAAGAGGCAGCGAAATGTGCAGTATGGTTCTAAATCCCGAAAATATTACTAAGAGTAGGGAAAGTGACAGAGAGGTTGCTGATAATGAACAAATTTTGATTCATAATTTAGTAGAAAGTCTCTACACAGCAGTTATTACTGAACTTGAACAATGTAATTTTGAAATGTACGAGAAATTATACATATCTGTAAAATTATAAAGAGTCTCAACACAGCAGTTACTACCGAACATGAATGGTGGATCTTTGTAACTATACAAGAAATTATACATATCTGTAAAATTAAAAAACAAGTATTAGCATAAAAGACAAAATAGTTTAAATGACTCATGTTGAAAGAAATAAAGCAAGTAAACAAATATTGAGCTTTTTCATAAATTTGAATTTTCTTCAGTTCACAGATGCTTCATTATTTCATAAGTAACTATTCATACTTTTTAATTTTATTTCTGGTATGGTTTATTCCTCGTAATTCGTACTGTATTTAAACTGATGATTTAAAATCCATGAAATTACAAAATCTGAAATCATTAAAGTTCTGACAAATCCAGATCTCAGACGTTGCACTGTATTTATTATGGTGTTTTTAAATTCACATTCCAAATTTGTATCCACAGGTATGATGCATCTGTTCTGGTCATTATGTGTTTTTTAAAAAGAAGTTTAATTCAACCCAAAAGAGAACTGAATACCTTTTTAGTTTCCACTATTATAAATATTTCCAGCAATAATATAAAATCATGCAACAGATACACACTAATGTTTGTGAAAAGTGCAACACCGTGAAAGAATTATGCAAATTTAACCAAACTTACAGTAACTGTGTAAGTAAACTTACAGTACAGTACAGTAACTTTCCTCACTTAAGTTAAGTGATGTAAGTTAACTTATAGTTAAGTGAGGTAAGACATGAAAATGATTAGAATTATAAAGCGATTACGCTTGTGTGGAATGAGTACTGGCTGCTTGTTCCATGTATGTAAAGGACTGCTGTATGTAAAGTTGACATGTATGTAAAGTTGCGATGAAATCTGTTTATTTTCCTCTGTCTGCAGTGAACATTTAATTAATTGTCAGTAAGCCTCATCAACAGCTGAGGATGACATACCAAGAATTAATGGAGTTCAAATGACGCAGCATCATCGGTATGCGAGAGAATGGACTTTTGTATGAAGCAATCACTGTCTGTACACAGCATAATGCTGTAACAGTGATGCATGTTTGGAAAAAATGGACAGAGGAAAACCAAATAAGGCAAAATCCTGGCAGTGGGGCATGCAATAACACAATGGCCCAGGACAACAGATATCTCATCTGCATAACTGTGACAGATTGTGCAGTGTTCTCGTGCTTTGACACAACATTGGAGCACAGCTACAGGTGTTGTGTTGCCTAGCTCCACGATTCATGGTCATCTGCTGCAGCATGATCTATGTGCAGGGGTTGCTCTGCACAGATTCCCCTGTCGCTACATCACGGATGCCTCCAACTTCAATGGACACAGCAACACAGTGCATGACATGCCCTGTGGCAAAAACTTGTTTTCTCCTATGAATTTCACTACAATCTTGAGTACAATGAAGGGACGAGTATGCATCCGACATTACAGAGGTGAACGACTTCTCCCACAGTATGTTATCCAGCATCATACTGTGCAAACACCTAGCATCATGTTGTGGGGAGTTATTGGGTATAATTGATGATCCCATTTAATGCAGATTACGGGCAACCTCAACTGTGATCGCTACATAAGAGAAGTTATGGAGCCAGAGGTCCTCCTTATTCTTCAACGTATTCTGCATTGTATTGCTGAAGGATAATGCCCATGCACAAGTTTCTCAGACTGCAAAAGCCTTCTTTAGGGCACAACAGGTTTTGCTTCTTCCATGATCTGCTTATTTCCCAGATATGTCACCCATTGAGCATGTTTGGGATTTCATCGTTCAGCGACTCACTCGTACAGCTGGTAAGGCACACACTAAGACTGAACTTTGGTGTTAGATTGAAGCCATTTAGAATGCTATTCCCCAGAATCACATTCAAAGCCTGTAAGAGTCAATGCCAATAAATTTGATCATTTGTTTGTACCACTATCAGTAAATATGTAGAATAAATTTCATTTATTTCCAACAATTCCTTCATGGTGTTGTATTTTTCACAAACATTAGTGTATATATATCAAATCTTTAATTTAGCTGCTTGGGAGAAAAACATACCGTATATACCCGCATATAAGTCGAGATATTTTGGGCAAAAAAAAAGACTTCAAAGTGGGGGGGGGTCGACTTATACGCGGGGCCATAAAAAATTAAAAGAATCGGAAGTTCAAAAATTTCTTTGTATAATGCAGTTGTTTCCTTCCCGCACTCGAATTGGACGACTTATCAAATAAGTCACTTACTTGAAGTAATTTCATGACTTAAATTATGTGACGAACTACAGTGGTGGCCAAAATTGTGGACACTTTTGGAAATTTTTATGTTTTGGCCCCTGAAAAAAAATGCGAATGGCCTGCGAAATACCCGCTGAATGATTATAAAAATCATTTTAAAATGTTGTATTAGCAACGAAGTAGACGGCACGGAAGATGATACTGGTTTTGAAAGTGAAATGATGGACGAAGGCTTAGTAGTGATTGTAACATAGAGTTCGAGACTGAAAATATGTATGATGACGAGCAATGATGACAGAAAGTTCTATGAAATGTTTGGGCGAATCTGACCATGAATCAGACGTTTGAAGGATTTTGATTTTGTTTATTTACCAAGGTATTTTTTTCATATATTTACTTTTTTTCTCAGATGATTTGAAAAATGTAGTACTTAAAAAATTTTTTTCGAAGTTTCTCGATCGATTTCGGAAGTGGGGGATCGACTTATACGCGGGTTTCTTATTTTCTACGAATTTTTTATGTCGAAGTGGGGGGGTCGACTTATACGCGAGTATATACGATATATCAGAAACAGGACTTAAACCACTTTTTAAACAATTTCCCTTTAGTTTTATGTAAACATTTACCAATACCAATATTATGCTGTTCCAACATTTTCCTGTGTAAGTTTATAAATTATGACCTACAAATATTGCATTTTCTTAGGTATACTTTCCAGTATTTCTTTTTCAATAATGGGGTATGTTTTGAAATTTAAAATTTGCATTCTGTTATGTATTTGCAATATAAGATCTTTGCCTTATTCACAAAAGAATGCTTTCATGAGCCTTATATTTGGACCATTTGTTCACATTTTAATTTACAGCACTTAATCAATCCTTTTGTTTTGGCTGAGTTTCATGCAGACCATATGGGAGATGTTTAGCCATCATCAACAGAATTTTCCTTAGTTACATTTTTAGAAACGAAAAAAATCAAATGTATAATATTGTTAAAATGACCGGCTGCGGTAAGATAGCTTCCTCGTAAGGTGGGTTAAGGGTTGCCAAAAAATGGCAAGGGAAGGCAGGTCTGCCAGATTTGGTGCAAAATCGTCTATTTGGTGACAAAATTGGCAGTATGCCATAGGCGGATGGAGAACCTTCTAGAATGAATTCCTACCAGTTTGGCACAGAATATTCTCAAAGGCAAGCTGAAAGCTATATAAACCCTGCCTGTATGCAGAGTAGCAGTCGAGTTGGTCGTCGAGCGCATCGAGAGTCTCACGAGTTAGTGCATCATCGAGTCTATCATGAGTGTGTTGTCAAGTGCATCGCCAGTTGTAGCATGGAGAGTCTTGAGTTGATGTTGAGTTCCGAGAACGACCAAATTAAGTTGGGAACTGTACTCTAGTGCTTTGCCATGAAGCTGTCTTCACCATTATAGCCTGAAGGCTGTGCTGTTGATTGTTTCAGCGTGTTTGTCGTAGTTTTTCAACTACTGTAAACGTGTTTCTGAAGCTGTCCTGAGTAATACTGGCTAAATAGTGTTTTGATATTTCATCAAGTGTCGTCGTTAGTCACTCCAAATCCACAAACCCTTAAGTGACGCAACAATATAAGTAATAATGCCTGGAAGGCTTATAACATCATATAAGCAATATTGGTTGAAAACCTGAAGTCAGCAGTATTATCAAAGAAAATTATTCAGTTAAACATCAAAATTGCATATGCAGCACACAATAAATAAACTTCTATAAGTGCCACATGAAAGGATTTTAAATATCACATTTAAATCAAATTAAAAAATTTTGTGGTGGTAATGGATGTAATAGATGTAAAATATTTTTAATTTTATTTATTAATTGGTGCTATTGTAATATTGTTTGTTTTAAATTCATTAAAAGGTTTCTTTTTAATATTTTGTTTGTAAATTTGATATTTTTGAATTAATACTTGTTACTTTTCATATTAACAATGGTCTATAAGATATATGTTTCTTCTTCCTAGTATTCCGATGGTTTCATCAGTCGCTTTTATTATGTATCTGAGCATCTTATTCCTGTTTTGGCTTGGGGTTTTTATGGTCCTGATGAGAATTTAAAGGAAATTTGTCTATACTTCAAGGTTAGCCATATGTATATTATTTCTAATACACTTCATTTGTCAATTGTATGTTTTATATCAAATTGTTTAATTGTATGTATCTGCACAATGATTATAACACGCTTATAGTATGAGATTTTTTCCATTGTATCAACAAAAAAGGAAAAGAAAATAGTCATATAGCTGAAGTCATAGTCAACATTAAGATCTAATCTTTTTATTAATTTTGTTTGTTTACTTTATAAAAGTATTAATTGAGTTTTCAATTGAGAGGCTGTACAGTTAATAATTGTAAACAAAACTTATAATTATGGAACCTCTTAATTTTATATCTCAAAATTCTCTAAGAAATTAAATTGAAATATTTTTAAAGCTTGCTTGTAAAATAAAGTTTTAATTGTATACTCTTTTAATGCTATGCTTAGATGTGGTTTTGTTCTTTCATGTTCCATATATGTTACTTTGACATGTGTGATACATGATTAAGTGAAAGTGTGACTGAAATATCTGCAGTGGTTCATTGTTTACTGCAGCATGAATGCATTGTATTTTTGTAAACTGAAGGATGTTACATTGATATTTATATCTGCGTAAATATGCTGACCTTGTTAAACATTAAACAAATATGAAAAAGGGCACAAATTAAATGTAGCTGTTGGTAATGATCATCCTGCCTGTGGTTGTGAAACAATTCACCAACAATCTATACATGTTTGTCTTGCCTATTAAAACAAGTGTTCCATTGTTCCGTGGTATGATGGCAAAAAAATGGGTCCATTAGCAAAAAAATATTTACAAATTTGAAATTTCCAAATAGGGCTTCCATGAAATGTTTAGTGACCCATTTTGTACAAACCTTGCTGTACTACAGACTTTAATTCAGAAATAGTGTTAATACTTCCCTTACTCAAAGTCTTCTTCACAAATTAGTCCATCACAGCAATTGATTCTTCAGTAATGATTAAGTGTGTGTTACCATGTCAGCTGTCCTCACTCGTCCAGTAATGTTGGTTCCAGTAATTGGATTATTAAGAATTGAACATGTTTAGAGGAATCCAGGGCACAATGCTACTTTGACATAATACTGCTAACTACAGTCAAAAATCGTTAATTCGGACACCCATAATCCGGAATGATCTATAATCCGGACCTCAAAGCTACAAACTTTCTGTGCGTGTGTCGCGTTGACGCGTGCGCATAGGCATTTACGTGCATGCGTAAGACCTTTACGGCTGCGAATATGCTTGTGCGCATGCTCATAAAACGTTTACGCATGCGCGTTTAATGTATAACGGACGGTGTAAGCTAAAATTATCTAATTCAGTTAACGTTGCAGATTGCGTTGCTCCTTAATCTTCGAATTGGATCCGGCTTATTATTTTTTGCAGACTGTTAGAGCAATTTTATAAAAGTAAGCTTAAACTTTCCATTATATCAAATAGAATTTCCGATATATATTTGTTAATGTAAGGATCTAAAGCGAAAGTATGTTTCGAAATCCGAAATCTGTTTATCAATTTCACGCTGCTCGGCGGGGGGAATGCCGTGCCATGCAATAAATTGGAAGTTGATCTGTCAGCACTATCCTTATCTTCAGGGCAGATGTTTTTATTTTATGTGGCTTATAATTCCGTACCAAATGTAGTATTTTATCTCGATGTACTCCGTCTTTGATATAATTTAAAACAAGTTCCTCGTCATTATAATTCGCTTCCAATAGTGAAGAAAGTGACAGAGGTTATTGAAAACGAAAAAATTTCAATTGACAAATTAGTCGGTATTCTTGACACAGCAATTGTAGGACTTAAACAGCAGAACTTTGTAACTAAACAAGAAATTATGTCTGTTTAATAGAATTAAAGAGAAAGTATTATCACATGAAACGAAGCAACTTAAACAACTTACATTGAAAGAAATGTTTAATAAAGTAAACAAATAAATATTAAGCTTTTTCTTTTTGTAAATTTTGATACCCTTTAGATCATAATTGTTCTTTATTTCATAAATTACGGTTTCATATTTTTAATTTTGTAATTTCTGCATGCCATCTTACTAGATTTAAACTGATGATCTATAATCCGGAAAAATCGATAAACCGGAATCGCTGAAGTCCTGACGAGTTCGGATTAACGACTTTTGACTGTACTTTAAATCAGATTTTTCCTAAAGTGCACCATGATTTTATGACAAAAAATCTGAAAGTTTTACCATATGGAATAATGCTACTAAACATTTTACCATTAGAAATGCTTATCTTTTATTTCGCACCTTTTATGTACTATTGCTGTTTAAATTGGTTTTAAGTGATTTTTTTTTTATAGTAAAATTTAATTTTCTAAGCTCACTTTACTGTTCACATTTGTTATTTGCCATTTATCAACAGTTTGCATCTGCCATATTTTTAAGTTCTAGTTCTATTTGGTCAGGTTCCTTTTTTGAACAAAAACTTACTATGTGGTGTTCTCCAAATGCCTCTCTCAAAGTTACTGTATAATTTAAACTTTCTTTAAACAGTAAAGAATCTAAAATGAATAATATTAGAGATTAAAACTGATATTTTTAGTAAGAAAATTTATTATTAATTTCAAAAGTTTAAAATTCTAATTATGTAATTTTTATTAGCAGCACTTAATATCTATTCTAAAAAAAAATCATAGCGTACTGTAATTGATTTCTTGTTGAAGTGACCAGCGTAAGAGTAACTGCTGCTTTTCCCCTTTCTGCTGAATTGCAATGTACTATACATATCTATATGATCATGAGAGTACAGTAGTATTGTTGCCTTATGACAAATTTGGAACAACTTGCTAAAGCAAGGCATATGTGTATGATTTTTTTGTTATAAGTTTAAATTCAGATATATAATATCTCTTGGTTCATGGGGCTTAAACAGATATTACCTCTATTTTAGTTCTACCAAGAAAGAACATAAATAAAGGCGATATAATAATATGAATATAGTAAAGGTAATGTGTTTCTATAGATGCTAAATAATGTTGACAACTCTCAATGTGGGGAAAAAATCATTGAAAACTCAAAATGAACTTGTTCATGACCTATAATTATTTTTATAAGTGAAATTGAAGAACACCCATGAATCAAAGAAAGAGAATGCTACAGGTTGCTTTTAAACTTAATGCCTCCTATTCAAATATGTTCCATTACCCAGCAGCCCAGTGTTTAAGACATTTATGGGCTCCTAAATAAAGTATTTATATACCCATATGCTTGAATTGCAGTTGATTCTGAATTGTAATATGTAATTAAATCCACATAACTATTTAAAATTATAAACATTTTTATAAAATTGTGATTTAATATTTTTATATTATTTTCTCTGTATATCAAGATTAAAATGCATAAAAGTTAAAATTATACCAAAGAAAATTAAATATTCTTTACGAAAGAAAAGAAAAATGTCAAGCTGTTTAGATGTTTCATGGAGTATTTTAAAATTAAGATTATGTATTATTAAATTAGAGGACTGTTAAGTAAAATTTTTAATAATTTAACCTTAATTTCTGGTAGTGTAGTAATAAAGCTCATATATCGTATTTGCCGGCATATAACACGCACCCCTTTTTTATACAAATTTTTGAGGGATAAAGCTTTATTACTGATCATTATAATGCATTTATAGCATTTTAAATATAAAGTAATACAAATACAGTCAAAAGTCTTTAATCCGTACTCGTCAGGACTTCAGTGATTCTGGATTATAGATCAAAAGTTTAAATCTGGTAAGATGGCATGTAGAAATTATAAAATTTAAATAATGAAACCGTAATTTATGAAATAAAGAGCAATTATGATCTAAAGGGTATCAAAATTTACAAAAAAAAAAAAAAAAAAAAAAAAAAAAACTTAACATTTATTTGTTTACTTTATTAAACATTTCTTTCAACACGCACATGCATAAAACATACATTACACATAGTCGAAATTAGAAAATTGCAACCAGAAAACTATTTGATGTGTGTTCGTGATATTTATAATGACGACGAATTTGATTTAAATCATATCGAAGACGGAGTACATCGAGATGAAATACTACATTTAGTAAGGAATTATAAGCCGAATAAAATAGAAACATCTGCCCTGAAGATAAGGATAGTGCTGACAGATCAACTTCCAGTTCATTGCACGCAGCAACGTTCCACCCCTCCCCCGCAGAGCAGCGTGAAATTGATAAACAGATTTCGGAATGGTTAGAGAAACAAAGGATATGCCTTTATCCATTTTTTGAAGCAATTCCACTTTTTGTTTGATGGACATCAAAACATGCTTTCGCTTTGTAGATCCTTTGGCAGCTCCAGAATCGGAAATTCTTTTTGACATAATCGAAAGTTCAAGCTTCCTTTTATAAGATTGCTCTAACAGTCTGCAAAAAATAATAAGCCGGATCCAATTAAAAGATTAAGGAACAACGAAATCTTCAACATTAACTGAAATAGATAATTAGACAATTTTAGCTCAGGTTATACCGTCCGTTATACATTAGACGCACATGCGTAAATGCATTACACATGCGCAGAAAGTTTCTAGCTTTGAGGTCTGGAATCATTCCGGATTAAAGACTTTTGACTGTACAAAGTAATACTTTCTGGGATCTATCTGGGAAAGAACACCTTTTAATCTTCTTCATCAAAACCCAGACACTCATATCCAGAGCTAAATGAAGAATCACTTAAAACCTCTTCTAAATCAGCATCGGAGTCCTCATACAATACATTATCCTCTGTACCATCCAGTGCATTACTAATGCTACAGTTCTTAAAATGATTTAACCACTGTCTCTGGTTTCACAGCATCCCATGAAGCTTTGACCCATTCATAAACTTGCAGAATGCTAGGCCTCTTCCTTCTTCCTAATAGTGAAACCTCAAAATTTGAAGACTGCATCCAGGTGTTTCACTTCTCCTCCACAAATCCCTTAAATGGTTTCTTAATTCAGACATCTTAAGGTTAAAGCTGACTAGTTAGGCCTCCTAGAATTACAGCTAACTGAGTTTTCAATTCTT